ATGAAAAAAAATGTTCAACATTGCTGGCCTTTAGAGAAATATAAATTGTAACTTTGAGATTCCATCATACCCTGGAGAGAATAGCCATCATTCAGAAATCAAATAATAACAAATGCAGGTGAGGCTGCAGAGAAAAATAAATCCTTGTGCACTATTGGTGAGAATGCAAACTAGTAAAATCACTATGGAAATTTCTAAAAAATCTAAAACTAGAGATTCCATTTGACCCAGCTATTCCTCTTGTAGATATCTTCCCCAAAAGACTGAACAACATTGTATTACAGTGACCCATGCATACCATAGCAGCACAGTTCCTAATAGCTAAATCTTGGAAGCGGCCTATATTTCTATCAACAGATGAATGGATAAAGAAAATGTGGTATGTACCCACAAAGGAGTACTACTCTGCCACAAAAATAGTAAACTCGAGTCATCTGCAGGAAAGTGGATGGACCATAAGACCACAATGTTAAGCGAAATAAATCAGACACACAAATTTAAATCTTGCATGGTTTTTCTTATATGAGAAACCCAGATTATAAGAGCAAAATAAAATATAATACGTGTTCCCTCCTTTGATTGTATTGCTAATGTCTGCTTGTTTATTGAAAGGAATAGGTGATGCTTAATTTTTTTAAAATTTTGACCAATTTTGTGTACTTATATCTGGTAATCTCAACTGATCTGAAGACAACAATATGCAATATATTAACCATTGGTGAATTCCTGCCACCTTGTCTAGTGAAACTCTGCATTGTCTCTTAAGTTTCTTTTAATTATTATTATTTTTTAATTCTCTTTAACGGTTTGATCAATCCTGCATTCTCAAATCTGGTAATCTGAGCAACTTTGATGAAGATAACACTATGTAATATAACAGCCACTGTTAATTCCTATCATTTTGTTTTGAAACCCTGTATCATTTTTAATGTTCTTGCTTTGTTTTGTTTTTGTCTGTGATGTTAGTATTTTGCTACTGGGTTTTTTCTTTTTTTTTTACTATTCTCTTTAATATAAAAAAAAAGTCTGGAACATTAAAAAAAGGATACTAGGAAGAGAAAGATCTTCCTCAGAGGGAAAGGGGATGAAGAAATGCAGGGGAGGCATGGAGGGTAGAGAGATGCAGAAAGGGGAGGAGAAAAGGAATTAAGACGTGTTGTATCCATGTACCAACTCCGCACAAAGAACAGAAACATGATGCACTCCAAACATGTACTAATAAAGAAATTTTTAAAATTTTAAAAATGTATCTAATTTTACTTCAAGACCAAATAAATTCATTTAATCCACTCAAAACCAATTAAAGATGAAAGCAGCATTCATGGAAGAAGAAATCACACAGGGGCAGGCTTAACAGTGTGCACAGTTCACTTCAAATGCTCGTGAATCTCCCCATTAACTAAATACAAATTTCCAAAGGTTTTGAAGAGCCTAGGAAGGTATCTGTAGTTTATATGGAGACAGGCAAGGACCGTCTCCATACAACCATTAGCAGTGTCAGACTTTTAAACTGGTCTGTAATGAGACACTGAAGTAGTAAGATATAACAAGACTCAGGTATTGCTCCTGAAAACAGCATCCCCTTTGCGAAAACAGACTTGAGAGCAATTCATCGAGGGGGACTTTCCATTGTGTTCTGGTTATGCTGGCATTTCTTGAATCTTTAACACAAAAAAATGCACCTATCTTTTCCTTATTCTATGAAAGAATTAAAAGCTAAATGGACTCTCCAAGGATTGCGTGCGCGCCAACAGACATATGCACAGGCTGAACAAAAGGCAGTACGTCAGTTGCAGGGAAAAGGCAGTTAATATTTTTGTGGGGAGCAGAATAGTCACGGGAATCTTGAAAGACAGAGTAGGATTTTGCCAAGTATGGGATGCTCAGCTTCAAGGCCAGTGTCAAAGACAGCAAATAATTGGGTCTTAAAGCTTACAAGATTAAGTAAGTTATAGCGTTATGGATATAAAAATTGAACTTATTTCTCCCTCACCATCCTGCTGAGGCAAGATAAGACACAGCCGTGTAAGAAAGGACTGGTTCCTCCTCACCTGTGCCCCGCCACCCGTCCTCTGCTTATCAGTGTGGATTAAGTTCATTCCTGAGTTTTGTGTCTCAAGGAGAAGAACACTTCGCAGACACAGATCCATGGCAGGAATGTTTTATAGCATGGATCTGCATTTCCTTGGGGATTAAATAACTTGGTACAAATTATGCCTACAAACTGAAGTGTTTCAAGTTAAACAACTATTTGCAGAAGTAACACTGAACTGTCTTTCAAGGAAATTCCATCTTATTAATAATAAGAAAACTCTTTAGAGGCTAACCCTGAAACCTCTCCACTAATGCCGCTCTCATTATGACATTGTCAGATCGTGCCATTTATTGATGACTTAGCTATGCCCCCAACAGCAAATGCATCCTATTATGAATAAGAAGAATGTCTACAGAAAGCAATTCCAGCCTGCTGATGCTCAGAGCCCCGTCATGGAATCATATGGATGAATGTGATAAAGCCCTGTAGTAGTGATGGTGAACCTATGGCACATGTGCCACAGATGGCTGTCTGTTATCATCAAAAACTCCAAAAGGTTTGCCATCACTGCCCCAAAGAAATACCTTGTGTGGTACGGTTCTGAGTTTGAGTTTAAACTATCACAACAGTTCTCACACTTAAGCATGCTTCAGAATAACCTGGAAGGCTTCTGAACACAGACTGCTGGGCCCCACCTCAAGAGTTTTTGATTCAGTAGGTATAGCAGAGAGGCAGAGAATCTGCACTTCTAATAAGTTCCCAGTCACACTGATAAGGTTCGCTTGGAGATCCTATTTTGTAAAACTCATAGAACAGTAAATCTTATTTATGAAGTTAGACTTCCTACACTAAGTTAAGTTGTAATTGATAGTAATCTAAATGTGAATTAAATAGTATTATAGTACGAGAATCAAATGAACTCACTTGGAATCCATTTTGGTCACTTTCTTAGTAAAAAATTCATCTACACCTTCATCCACTCTCCCCATAAGACCATTCTGCTCCCCATCCTGGGAGACTATGGCAGCAGCACAAACCTGCAAGGCAAACAAAAGCAGCATTAATCACATCCAGCTCCACTCAGTAAACACTGATTGCTAGATTCATGGTAGTATGTATGGGACAGGAGAGGAACGAGACTCACTAAAACGGGCACCACATAGTCTACGGGAATATAAGCTATGTGTACAACTGTAACCTTAACAGAAAGAATCGGACAGAATGTTTATAAAATCCAATGGAAGCATCCTGCCAGGTGGGGACTCATGCTGACTGACATATCAGAAGCTTGGACCTAACAGGCTGTGAAGAGTTCACATTTGAGAAATGCTAAAAAGTGAGGCGATAACAGGTAATAGGCAATGTGACTGTGGATAACAGAATAATGAAACAGAAACAACGACGCCACTCATCTGCACGTACTTCACCCTGATCAGAGCAAGGTTTTGCTATATTTTACAACAAACAGAACAAGCAAGGTTCTTAATTCAGCAATACAGAGAAAGAAGCTCACTCTCAACATTTATATTGACTCCAGATGACAAAGCAGTACACAACTTGTTTGTCTCAACATTTTTCTTTTTGAAAAAGAATGGAGAATAGACTACCTCTGGCAATAGCAGTCCCTCATGCTGGGAAAGAGCTTGGTAGTCTGCATGTGTTTTGTACACTACGACTTAACTCTCACATCTCTTCCCTGAGCTGAAAGTTTTCTCTTAGTTGTTGGTTAGTCACAGGTCAAACAGTGACTCAGAGGGTGGAGGGCACCATACAGGTCACCCAACTGATAGTTTAAGAAGCATGTGACCCAGGACACATGGCCTTAATACGGGGCTTTCCTCAAACGACTCTCCTTTCTGTTTTAAGAGCAAAACATTACACTTTACTTGTATAATTTTTCCCCTCGCCCCTGCCATTTCCCCCGCTTTGAAAGAGAATTCACAGCTGGTGCGAGGTTCTCCAGGGATGCAGAGAAGGTCAGGGTCTCAGAGATGGAGGCACAGAGCTGAACAAAGCCATCTGCTCCCTGCAGGCCAGGCCAGGCCTATGGATCCCCAGCCCAGCCCTCTCACTTTAGAGACAGAGACACCAGAGTAGATGGATCTGAGCAGTCCAGAACTGCCGGGAGACCGCCAGTGAGGGCCGCTTTAAAGCGCAGCTGCTAATTGGAAGGCAGCAGGAGGGGGCTGCGAGGACAGCAGCAGAGAAGCCGGAGCACAGGGTGAAATGAAGTCCATGAAGGAGTTCAAGGCCAAACGCACAAGCTGCTTTATCTCATTTTCTAGCAGAGGAAAAGACTGGATTCTCGTCTTTTCTGTCAAGGAGGATAAACGTCAGAGTGGAAAGAGTCGCGCAGCTGTGGAAAGGAAGGCAGAAAGCTCAGCCCTGGTCAGCCTGGCTGCTTTCTCCGTCCCACAGCAGTGCCTGCAAAGAAAATCAGAAGGACGCTGCTATCTGAGAAATAAAGAAGGCAGACTTTACACCTGGTGTAGACCTATATGCTAAAAGGATAATTTGCGAATGCTTAGGAGGTGATTATGAGGACTGAGGACAATTCAGACCACCCTCTGTCTTCCCTCTGCTAGGACTCTTAACGTGATTACTGTAGGGAGATGGGACACTGCACCTGGATTTGACAGGGCAGCCGCCAAAACTCACCCCATCTTCACAGACTGGGTGGAGAGAAATGGGCAGGAAGGAACAGATACACACAAAAGGTGCTAATTAGCAAGCTGAGCAACCACATGATCTGATGCGTATATGAAGCACAGAAGACTGAGGAGCTAAAGAAGCAAGTGGAAACAAGGAGCCTGAGGAGATGAAACGAACGCAATGTACAAAAATTAACAAACAAGATTAAACTCAAGTTCATTCTTTGAAAGAGATTAATAACAAAGCCACAAAACTGAATAATCACAAAGGGCTTTAAAATGAATTGGAAATGAGAAAAAGGAGATGAGCTATCAATATAGCAGAGATTAAAACTTTTAAAAGAATTCTAGAAATAAATGATTAGACCAAATGACAACATTATAGAAAAATACAAATTATCAAAATGGTCTCAGGAAGAATTATGTAACCTAAACATATCTATAGTAAAAACCAACCAAACAAAAAACAACAACAAAAAATCCTAGTTAAAAAAAAAACATAATGGGTACCATATACCTGCCTCACACAGACACTTCGGCCCCAACAGCTTCTCAGAAAAGGAATGGGCAATCTCTATTAAAGGCAAACTGCTGCATAGACTAGGAAAGAGAGAGCGCTTCCCAACTCAGGTTATGAATATAGTGTAACTGTGAATCCCAAAGTAGATGGACTGTCCAGACAAAAAGAAAAGGTGTGGGACTCTCATTTATGCACATAGATGCAAAAATCCTATTAACATATTGGGAATGGCTGGATGAGGTGGTGCACACCTGTAATCCAAGCACCTTCCTGTAATCCCAGCACTCGGGAGGCTGAAGCAGGGGGATCTCAGGGAGTTAAGGGTCAACCTGGGCTATAATAATGAATTAAAGGCCACTCTGAATTACAAAGTGAGCTCTTACCTCAAAAAATAAACAAAAACAAAAACCAACCAATCAAACAAACAAACAAAAAACATTTTGGAGAACAATGCCTTAGCAGCATAATAAAACTCAGCAAAAATATCGTGATCAATAGTGGCATCACATTAGAAAAATCTGTCAATGTGATTCATCACAGTAGCAGATTAAGAAAAGTTATCAATCCCAGGAACTGCTAAAATTAAAACCCAAACACTATTCTTTGAACCAAAATAGTGAAATGGGACAGACAAAAAATTTCTCAACAGAACTAGTAACAGCAGAAACTGCTACACTTCTCGTTTGGTCTCTTGTTTACTTAGTAATGAAACACTGACTTAGAGGATGAATGTGATCAACTGCAACTGATCTTCCTAGATTCCTTTGCATACTGGGGTAGAAATGTGGTTCATTTGGGGGCTGTGAGCTGTAACTGGATGTTTACCAGCACTTCCAGGTAAGTTCTGATTACACGTTCTAAATTCTATTGCATGTTTGCCTCTTACCTTTGCCAGAAATATGCTTAGAACAACAGATTATAGGTGATCTTCGCAGGTAAGGCCAACACTGGCCCCTGAATGATATATCATTATATAAGTAAGCAAAATCCGAATGAATTAATAAGAGTACAGTATTTTTTTTTAAGAGTAGGAAAATTTACTGGGACACAGGAGGGTCCCAAATGGGCTGACAAGGAGTACGGTTTTTAAAAGGAGGGAGTGAAATGGCCAATCCTGCAATTTATTCATAGCAGAGTAGGACTTGTAAATACATTGCAGGCAGAATAGTATGAGGAACACGGAAGAGAGAGAGAGAGAGAGATTTAGATTGAAGAAGAAAAGACCTTGCAATGACCCACAAATATTCGTAATTCCAGAGAAGAGACTTACACAACATGTGCCACTCCAGAAGACTAAAACAAGGTGGCTACATCACAACTGTAAAGATTTTTAACAAAATAAAACAAAAAATTTGCAACTAAGAAGAGCTTTTAGAAAATAGCAGCTTCAGAGAAAGAGGTCAGTGTGGAAGGAATGGCCAGCGGATGGCTATTCTTGGCAAGGGGCTGGACAAGGTGGCTTCAAAGGCCCTTCGAACACTGTGATGCTGTCATTCAAAACACAGAGGAGGAAATGCAGTAGCAGGGGTGCATGAGCTTTAATTAGAGTGGATGTTTCATCCCCGGGCCAGGGGTGCAGGGCTGTGCCAAGATCACACAGCAAACTGATCAGCACTGACATGGCACCAAAGCAAAGCAGCTGTAGGTGTAGGACACCAACTCAGAGGAAGTTGACTTCACACTCCCTTGACTAATGCCTGGATCATCCTTAAAGCTCCCTCCTTGGGGAGATAGTTCTCACGGGTGGCAGAGTCTGATCGAGAGACCGGGGTGCTGTCCTCTATCCCACAGTCTCTGTTCTTCCTCAGAACCTTTCACCTGCAGTTGGGACAGGTAAAAGCAGGCAGGAACTGAGCCTGGAGGATACAGAGGCCACAGCAGGCCTCTGTTCCTCACAGGCCCTGTGGATGGAATTTCTCAGGCTTATTTACAGCGTGGCCAAGTCCCTATTGATGGAATTTAGATGAAAGTCAAGTTTGCAGCTTTTGGGTCTGGCCCACAAACCTCTGGTGTGTGCAGACTTTACACACATCAACTTCCAGCTGAATGGCTGCACCCCAAGGGGAAGGTGGAGCCATAAAATAAGGCAGCAGAGCCTCTGGATGATCACCATAGGGTCCCTGGTCAGAAATACCCACTAGGACATGAGAGAAATAAACCTCAAAATATCAGGGAGTTGACACAATAGAAGTTTAGCTCTTAGACTGACCAGTGTTCCACTCATGAGCTACAGTTCCCCCACTAAATTTTCTCTGTTTTGCCCTTTCACAGGTGTGCTGGGGCAGTCTGGTACCTTCAGAACTGGCATTTCCATTCTTTTTTTTTTGTTTTCTTTCTTTCTTTCTTTCTTTCTTTCTTTCTTTCTTTCTTTCTTTCTGTCTCTGTCTCTTTCTCTCTCTTTCTCTCTCTCTCTCTCTCTCTCTCTCTCTCTCTCTCTTTCTTTCTTTCTTTCTTTCAGTGCTGGCTATGGAATCTAGGGCCTCATCCACAGAGCTAAATCTCTGGTCCTCCTCACTTTACTCTGATATAGGGTCTCACCACCTCAACCAGGCGGGCCTGGACTCTGTGAGCCTCCTGCCTTGGCCACTGGAATAGGTGGGATTACAGGTGTGTGCCACTGAGCCTGGTTTTCTTTTACATTTCACCCACGTGAAGCTCTTTCCCTAAAAGCACAGACTTTCTGAGAGTCCCTTCAACACAGAAAATACTTCTGAATAGGAATTTTTGTAGAATTTGTTGCCTTGTTCCTTAAGAGTGACATCAAATCAGACTCTTTCCTTTCTTCCTCATTTTAGTGTGGGAGTGGGGAATAGAGAGCAAAGGTAAAACAAACATACAGCATTCATATTATAAAGACAGCTAATACTAATGAAACAATAGCTTTGAAGGACAATATTGCATTTAATACAGGACTGTACACTCCCGTCCCACTTATTTCTCATGAAAATTCAAGAGGGTAGGCAATGTAGGTTTTTGTACAGTTTGTTTTGCAGGACTGGAGATTGAAGTCAGAGCCTTTGCCCTGAGCCACATCCTCATACCTCTTTATTTTTTTTTTTTTTTTGAGACAGGATCTCTGTAAACCACTATGCTGCCCAGGCAGAGCTTGAATTTATGACTGCCCTGCGTCAGCCTCCCAAAGTGCTAGGATCACAGATGTGTGCCACCATTTCTGGCTGCAGTGCCGTTATTTTATTTTATTTTATTATTTTTTTATTTTTTGGTTTTTCTCTGGTACCGGGAACCGAACTCACGACCTTGAGCTTGCCAGTGCTGTTATTTTAGAGACAAGTTAGTTCAGGCTCTGAAAGACCACAAGCCTTGTTCAGACACAACTGCTAAAAGCAAGTGTGCGTGTCGGTCTCACCCTGCTTTGCTGCAATGGTAGAACATTAAATTCTTGGAGCACATCAGCTGTAGCATGAGGCTGAGTCTTTATGTATATTCTCATTAAGTGGAAAAAAGAAAAAGAAGCTGGCATTTTTATTTCTTGTGATGATGATTTTGTTTTTGGAGGTGAGTGGGAATTAAACTATAGAACTAAATCTAGATCCATCATTTATAACATGATTGCCAGTTTTAAATGTTTATAATTCGACCTGAGATTAAGTATTTGTTTCTTCTTAAAAATAAGCTGGTTATCAACTTTTCATCCTTACATAATTTTCATTTGTGTATTTTGGCCCAGGAGACATGGCATGTTATCTCTTTTTTTGAGACAGGGTCTCACTATGTAGTTCAGGCAGGCCTTGGGCTCATTATGTAGCCCAGGTTGGCCTCAAATTCACAGTGATCCTCCTGTCTCAGTCTCCTGAGTGCTGGGTTTACAGCTGTGCCCCACCACACTCAGCATATATTAGCATTTGAGCTAGCCAGGGCTTTGAGAATTCTGACACTTGGATGTTCTCATCAGGGGCAGCAGGGGTCAAGGATGGGCTCCTGAAAAGTCAGACTAGGGTTTAGGATGAGCAAAGTCTACTGAATCCTAGCAAGAAAAACACTGATACTAGTAAATGACTGCTGTGACTGAGAATTAGTAATGCAAGTGATCACAGCCCAACCATCCACTTCTTCCTACTCCTCATTGAAAAATGTGAAGCTGCACCTGTGTGGCAATTTCCTGGGGCTGAGACAAGACGGCACCAGGAAAACGGCAGCCCAGGGGACTCATGAAGTAAAAGCACTTTCCCTGCAAAAATCAGAAAAATCTTGTACCATGGTTCCCAGCCAAAAGAGCTCTGGGGAAACGCCAGGTCTAGTCAGCTTCTGGCCATAACCTTTACTTGGGACTCAACAGAGATTCCCTGTCTGAGTGGATACAAAAGCAAAATCTCTGCAGGATTCATCAATGGAGCTCAGGATACAGTATTCCAGAATATGGCCCTAGCGGACTCAGGAAAACAGCAGGCACAAGAAAGCAACCCCTGTCCCACCAGAAGCAGTTAGCAAAGCCTTCCTCCACAGGCGTCCTCCCTGTTCCTGGAGGACAGGAATGTTCTCATCTCTGAAAGAACCTGGGCTCACAGCCCTCACCAGGTGCCCCAGAACCATGAGACCCTTCTGCTTTGTCTGCTCCCATGCCTCCTCAATGATCTGCCTCCTCATCAGACTGGGCAGAAAAGGACAGATTTCCCCGTTCCTTCGGGTACTCAGTTATGAAGGAGCCCATGTGGTAAAAACCTAGATTACATACCTTTGGTCATGCTTTTCTCTTGTTAATCTGTCTTTTCTTACCAGAACTTCAGCCATAACGGGTAAGAAAAGAAATCCCATCTTCCTACAGTTTCTAGTACACTCCAGCCCCAGCTCCCTTCACAGCTTCCTTCCACTTTTCAAATGCATAAAGAAAAGAGAACGCAAAATTCCCTTTCCAACAGTCACTGACTTAAACACGGGGAAGCTTACGCCACCATTTCACATACACGACACTGCTGATGATTCTCCACAGAACCATTTATTCAGTAACGATCTGGAATCTACAGTGTGAGTTATTGGGTGGGAAGGTATCTTTTTCCCTGTTTGAAAAGAGCTAGTGCTTATACTGTTTGATCAATTTTGCATGCCTGATCTGGTAAATTGAGCAACTACTTTGAAGATAGCAACATACAATATAATAACCACTGTTAATTTCCTATCACCTTGTTTTGAAATTCTGTATCATTTTTATTGTTTTTTATTTCTTTCTTTAAAATAGAAAACAGTTTTCAAGCAGGAATGGTGGCAGAGGCTGTAACACCAACACTCTGGGAGGCTTATGCAAGAGGATCTCAAGTTTGAGCCCAACCTGGGCAATTTAGTAAGACCTTGTTTCAAAACAAAAGCATAAAAGGGACCGGGGACATAGCCTAGAGCAATGACCTGGTATTTAATCCCTAGTACCCACCCCACAAAGCCTTTCCCTTATTTAAAAGGAAAACATTTATCACTCCGAAATTACACAGTAGTGCACTAAAGAATCTAAAATCAAATAAGTTGGAAAATAATGCATACAGAAGGTTTTTGTTTTTGAAGTGGTGTTAATCTACATCATTCAAATGAGGTCAATAAACCCAACACAAGAGCCTGATCTGCAGCGAGTAACTGCTGACCATGCCGATTGCTGGGACCCTCGTCCAGCTGTGTTTCCTGCCTCCCACCACTTTATCCAGTAACTATTCGGCAACACCGAGTGCCTTCTGAGAGCTGAGCATATCGCTGTGGGTGAGAAGCCACAACCCTACCCGAACTACAGAGGAGAAGAGGGTGGAGGAAATAGGATGTGAAGTATGTGATGAGAGATCGGCCTGGGAGGGTTGCTCGAGCTCTGCACTGTGCAGTCTATGATACAAGCCTTCCCGGAGTCCCGCGCAGAGGCAGGGAGGGCTTGCAGGTAGAAGTGTGGACTCAGTGGAGAAAAGATCTGAAAGATGTGAGAGTAGTTACCAGCCTGGGGGAGAGCAGTGAGGCTCACCTAGCAAGGAGGAAGGGGGAGAGCGGGTGACCAGGCCAGGCCCGAGTTTCTAGTCTATCTACTAGTGATGCCCCTCAAGGGACAAAGGACTTAACAGAAGGGCAGGGTGGCAGGTACGCAAAGCTCTGGGCTTTGAGCCCTGTGGGCCTGAGGTGCTCAGGAGGCAGACTCATCTCTGAAAGGCCGGCTGCCGCATGACAGTCGCTGTGAGCAGCAGAGAGCCTGCCCGTGGGGCTCAGGCAGCAGAGCACACATGGATGGATAGAAAACAGGGGGCTCTGTGGGAAATCCAGTGAGCGACAACTCCAGGATCAGCAAGACAGCGCCCTTGAGGAAGGGCTCCCCCTCCAGTTTCACGCACTATGCAGACATCAGGGAACAGGAAGAACAGCTGGGGAGAATGCCAGGTTAGGACTCAGTCAGGATGGGGTTAGGATGAATTTCAGGGTGGTTCTGGGGTGAGCAGGCAGGGACGGAAGATCCTGGTGACTGCGAAGAGACAGAAGAGCCAGGAGATGGGACAATTTGTCTAGAAGCTTGGCTATTTCAGGACAGGCAAGGCATTAACGTGCCAATCACACTCAGGCCCCTCTGCACTAACAATTCCACCTTCCACTGGGGCAAGGGGAGCAAGACGCTGAGTCACAGCCTGATGCACCCACTCGGGGCCACTTGGGCCCACGGTGTGCAGCTCAGCAGACAGGGAGGCCTCAGCAGGAGGCCCACGCATGGAGGGGGAGATCCATGTGTACACCCCAAAATCAATTACAAATAAGTTTTTTGCTAGTGAATTTGTATTTTCCCAGACTCTATAAAATGCTATGGACATCTCACCCCAGTGCCTGGTGTTTTTCTAGGGTCTTCTAAGAGTTTCTGAGGGGTGGGAAACTTTACAGTGTAGTTCTCTAAGAGTTACACAGCAGCAAGTAAAGATGCTTCACATGTACACTGTGCATAGATAGGGCCTGGTCTCCACAACTATACACCTTTGGGGTGTGGGGAGAGAAGGCCTCCGCCAGGTGCCCACCTACCGCCGCCTGCGTGGGCTGCTGCTTCTTGTTCCGCTTTGGCCTCAGCTTGGTAAAGTGCTCCAGCTTCCTGCCCTCCTCAGAGGGCAACTCAGAGATAAACCCTGAGCTCCTCTTCTCCTGCCTGGCAGATGGGAAGGGCGGGTCTTCTACGTGAATCGGCACCTCTTCCAGCGCTTTGTCCAGGTCAAACTCCATCTCTACAACAAAACAGAGCTCAAGGCCAAAGTGTAATGCAGAGGGATGGATAGAAAATTCAGAAAAGTCATTTTTAGCCTATCAGGAAAAAAACCATTCACACATACAGGGCCCCTCTGCACTATGGCCAGAGTGGCCTCAGGTCCTGTGGGAACGCTTCTAGTGACAGGCAAATGGTCGGTGCTGGCCACATACTCACCAAAGGCCCTGGAAACAGGCCGCAGCATCCGGCTGTGGATACTCTTCCTTTTGGATTTAGGAGTCATCTAGCAATAAAATAAAGAAAGCACTTAGATGGGTAGTCACAGAGAACGTGCCTTTCAAACTTCAGAACATTCTAGATGCATTGACCGAACTCAGCATTTCTCTTCCTTCTTTGGGGGAATGGTTCAGTACCACTGATAGTCTGACTCAAACATCTGGCTGATATGTTTCTGTTATAACTTTTTCAAATGATATGCCTAATTTTCTCCCTTCTTCCCCCAGCCTTAACTAGTTACAACCTATTCCTGTAGCTGAAAAAAACAAGAAGGATACAGAATTTCACTCCAGGAGGAGTGTCACAGGAGGACGTTAAAATGGACATAAAGAATGAAATTTAAAGCCACAGTATGTAATACAACAACCGCTGTTAATTTCTCATCATTGTCTGAAATTCTGTATTGTTTTTATTTGTTTCATTCATGTCTGCATGTTTGTTAATATGTTTTGGTTCTTTTATCTTCAAAAATAAAATTTAAAAAAGTATGCTGGCCCTCCATCAAAAAAAAAAAATCAGTCATTAAAAAAAACCTGACAATTCATTGTCACAGTAACATCACTGTAAGCACACTGAAGTCTTTATGTGTCACTTCAACAAATAAAGTCATTTAAGTCTTTGGTTCAGTTTGCCAACAAGATCTAGATAGTCACATCATGGGCAAAGACCAGTCAGAAAAAGGTACCACAATGCAAAAGCTCTACCAGCTGGCACTGCTCTGTAAGATGTCTTGGATCTTGCCAGTCTTTTAAAAAGTGAAACCCAAACCAAGGCCAAAACATGAGAGTGTTTTCCCAGCATCGGTATAAACTGTTGACTGCATAACACATCAAAGAGATGTTCTCTTCTCCACCACTGTCATCATATGAGTACTGAAGCTGCAAGGAACCTCCATCATCACCTACACAAAAACTCAAAGAACAAAACAAGTTGTGGATACTGATAAAGACTAACATCCCAGCTGCCAGCTGGAGCCGCATCAGGGATAGGATCAACTTCCTATCACACTGGCCAGGCAGATGGACTGCGGCAATGCTTAAACTGGTTTGAAGCTGGTATTGTATAAATTAAGAGACAATGCTACTGAAAGAATTTGATTTTTACACTTTCATTTATCAGGCTGTCACCTAACGCTTCCTCAAAAACCCACATGTTTGAAAAATATTCCTTGATTCAAAGAATAAATTGGTTCATCCTGACCTTTAAAAGTAAACAACTCTACAGCTTTAACAGTTATGCCAATTTTAATAATAAAATCCTTTTGCTATTACTTATTGTTGAGAGAAAGGGGGAAAATTATGAGCAGTTATATTTAAATCTAGAATGGTTTTCCTGAAATAGACAATGAAACTTGCTGAATTGGTCCTGTCAAGGCTTTGTTAAAGGCAACAATCCAAGGAAGAGCTGTGTATAAAGTAACAGGCTTTGCAGGCTTAAGGAAAAATAGCAGTCATAAAAAACAGGCAATAAAAAAGCAGGCACAATGCAACTGGAAGGGGATCCAGTTTCAAGGCGGTTCTCCCCGAAATTGGCTTTGCAGTTGACTGGAGAAGTCCATGGGCTGACCGGTTCATTCATTAAGAGAAGCTCTGAAGGTAATGAGTTCTCAGGAGATACAGACTAGCACCATGTATGCTGTACTTCGTTGTGAAAAGTCTTTTGGAATTCTAAGCACCTCAGGTACAGCCATGGGAGACAAAGGACCAAAAAGCATCCTGGAATGGAACTTCCAGCCAATTTCATTTAGATCATCATAAATAGCAAAGAACATCAAAACTGCACGGCATAAAGATGTCTTCCATTTCCCCTCGCCTGTGCCTCTTGATTAGATTTCATAGAAAAGGTATTCATGTGCAAAAATAATTGGGCTCCAATTTCTTTTTCAGTAAAGACTTGACAATAGATACCACATATATGTAAAGCATATGAAAATTATAGCATTTCATAATTTTAAATAAATGAAAAGGAACTATAATTATATGTTAATATACATATAAAAGAATGGATACAATATGTAAAGAAATCCATTTACAATCTGATGTCTATCTGAAAATGGAACATTTACGTTAACCTAATTTTAGAGACATATCAAGAAACATAAAAATCATCAGGTGTTTTGGTGACATTAGTTAAAGGGGAACTGGTTTTCTCATGCTCTAGTTTTTGAATGTCCAGAATTTTGAATATCGACCAGTTTGCACAAAGAGAATGCATTCTAGTGTGTTTCATTGCTTTCCTATATCTTGTATGCTCTTTACAAGTACAAACAATTCCTCGTTATATTTCCCAAGAAACTCTTCCACTGAATTTATCATATCTGTTGGCTCTAAAGTTTTGCTACGTTTAGGAGCTAACAGCTTTTAGTTAAAGGAGAACCTGCAATCAGTAGTTTTTATAGCTAGTATTAAGATGCAACCAATTTCAATCTCTTTCTCTCATGGAACTTACGCATAAAAGCAGACAGAAAAAAGTGGATCTTACTTCTCTCACATTTTTCCTTCAATGGATTTTTTTCTTCCTTAGCGTATAGCGTATACACAGAGTGCATATACAGAAAACATACACTTGCACAATCTTACTGGACTATTCCTACAATCCAAGTACATAGAAATCTAAAGCAATGAAATGCAAAAACAAACTAAGAATATTCACCCAGTGTTTGTCTAGAAATCTGGTTTGCTTATATTCCTCCCATCAACAGTTGGGTTGAGGGACTGTATCCTGGGGGAAAAACAACATTTTACCTTTTGGGGGGGATGACAGTTACCTTTCTTTTTGTATAAAAAAAGAGAAAGGTTAATTCTTTTTAGATTGCTTTTTAGTCCTCGTTGATCTCTCAGGACGCCTGCCAGCGCCTCAGTATCATCTGATCACAGCCTCTCCACCAGACACAAGGGCAGAGGTGCATATCCCAAATGGAGTTCTCATAAACCAACCATGATGGACACTGTCACCTGTTATGCTAAGCCTAGACAAATTAGCTTATTTTTAAAACTGTATTTCATGAGTAAGGAAATTTCAATATTCACATCCTAAGAGCAGGGCATGGTGGCGTACGACGGTAATCCCAGCACTCAGGAGGCTGAGACAGGAGAGTTGTTTCAAGTTCGAGGCCAGCCTGGGCTACAAAGTGAGTTCGAGACCACCTGAACTGCATAGTGAGACCCTCTCTCCAGGAAAAAAGAAAATCATATCTTAAAGAAGTATGAGGAAAATCATGTTAAACCTTTATTTTCAAATATTTTTCAAATATATTTTCACTTTATAAAAGTGTTTCACTTTTTATAAAAGGGTTTCACTTTTTAAAAGACTGGCAAGATCCAAGACATCTTGCCAGGATCCAAGACATCTTGCCAGATCTAAGACATCTCCAGGAAAAAAAAAAATCATATCTTAAAGAAATATGAGGAAAATCATGTTAAACCTTTATTTTCAAATATATTTTCACTTTATAAAAGTGTTTCACTTTTTATAAAAGGGTTTTACTTTTTAAGAAGAAAAACCATCAATAAATCTCATTGTGGCATGCACACATGTAACGTGAAGAAACTAGCTGTATTTTCTAAGAATCCAAAAGTAACATCAATTGCAAAGTTACTCTGATTAAATTATTGTGCAAGCAGCTCTCAATAGAGACACAGATGTCCACTCTAACCACAAGGTAAAAGCTAACGCTGGAACCTTATAAATCACACATTATCGTTTTCTTGTCAAACCCACTTTTAGCAGGTAATTTCTAGACATATTAATTTTTTAAAACAACAGATTGTTGGTGTCACCATGAAAATAGCGTTAGGTAGTCTCCTTACTTGATTTGCTAAGTTTACACAAAGTGCAATAAATAAAAATCTTATTCCAAGCTCAAGAAGCCAGTGTCACTTTTTCCCTGCTCAAGGTTTAGAAAACCAAACATTACCCATTGAAAAGCAGATCAGGAAAATCTTCTAATACAAAAAGCAAATCTTAATGCTAATTTTCTACAATTAGCATTATGGGTGTGAAATAAGTAATATGACAGGAATCAAAGAAAAAAACAAAAGCCTGAAAGTTTTGTGGTCATGCCTCTTTTCCTAATTACAGGAGTAGCATGAGCACTTTTCTTATGTGTGACAGTAGCTTCTTCATCAACATTCCCTTGCTTTTGGGCACACAGTAGGGGTTATTTTACATGTATCTCCTGTCTTACTGGCTGACCCATTTTGTAAAACCCAATCTTTTTTTTTTTTTTTTTTGAGACAGAGTCTAGCTGGGCAGTTCAAGCTGTCCTTGAGCTTGCTATGTATCCCAGGCTGGCCTAGAACTTACGGCGATCCTCCTGCTTCAGTCTCTCAAGTGCTGGGATTACAGGTATGTACTACCATGCCCAGCTGTAAAACCCAATCTTGTCTCTAAATTGTTGACCCAGGATCTGCAGATGGATGACAATACTACAGTTTCCCAGAACACTAGCCAGGCAGCACAGAAGCAAACAGAGCACAAGAATGTCCACTAGGGTAGCAAGAAACTGCAGAGCCACCAAAAAAATACTTACACTTGTACAGCAGAGAGTCTCCATGCAGCAAAAAGAAAGGAAAAAAACATGAATGGAAGAGAGATAAAGCAGCAGCATTACTAGAAGAGGGAAGGAAGGGGGAAAGAGAGAGAGAGAGAGAGAGAGAGAGAGACCATTCACAAAGAAATAGAAAAGCTTAAAATACATAAAAAGCTTTCATAGCAAAGCAGTTAGGCGAGAATGAGGCCAAAATATTAGTAGCTCAAGGCATGTAACTGAGATTTTTAGAAGCAAAAGCACAATTAAAGCTGGAGAAACTACAGACACTCTTACACACAGGTGTTACTTCTTGCAAAGTGTTGTAAAGTGCCATCTATCAGGCCCACAAGGGGATGGTGACCCCCACGTGGGAGATGGGGACTTCGTCAGCTCCAAAGGCACATTGTGGACAGAACACTGGACAGGTTTCTCTGGAAGCCCCATGCAAGTCCTGGCTCTGGGGTCAAGGGCTACTC